AAAAGACCACACAAGCAGAAGTAGTAGATGGAGAAGCTGTATTCTCTCTGCCCAAACAAAATGAAGAGCAAATTGTGGTATCGACCAGGATTTTAAAAAATAAAAAACTAGAATAAAATTGAAAAGTAACACTAAAAGAATCCTAGCACCAAAATGTAATTTAAATAACATTTCTGATTAATTTACACTTTAAGAATTTAAGAACAGGCTTTTGTTCCTAAATTCTGTTGAACTTTAACCAGAATTCTTGGTTGAAAATAGAAATCTTATCAGAGAAGAATGAAAAAGACTACTTCAGTGGTCAAAAGAAAAAAACTTAGATCAGTGTTTCCCAACCTTGGATAGCCCAGGTGTTCTTGGTCTACTTCCCAGAAGCTTTCACCAGCAGCTGTAAAAAGCAAAAGTAAAAAGTGGCAGTAATGGGCTCAGAATCCAAAATTCAACTTTTCAAATAAAGCTATTACAATAATTAGTACAAAGAGATAGAAGAGAACAACCAAAGAAGGAAAACAAGATACGTTTTCCATAAAATCCAAGAAATCAAAGGGAAACAAAGGGTTTCTGGGATGCTGAAAGACTAAATGGGGAAGGATGGTATACTGTCTGACCAGGATAAAGTAATTTGGAAAAAATATGCTGGATAACTGCACAGAAGAAATGGAGGGAAGATGGATTGCCTTGAATAAAAATCCTGTCATTTCCCATGCAAGCAAAGTGATGTTCAAGATGCTGTCACAAGGATTCTTACCATATGTGAGTCAATGCCTAATGTTGAAGCTGGATTCTGAAAAGGAAGAGACATTAGAGATTATATTGCAAATATATATTGGCTAGTAGAGTGTATCAAAGAACCAGAGAAAACTACAGCAACGTTTTTAACTATGTGGATCATGAGAAACGATGGATTGTTCTAAAAGAAATGAGTATGCCTCAACATTTGATTGTCCTTAGAGGCTCCACCCCTCTCTCTTGAGACTTGGCTCCCCATGCACACAGGGTTCCATCACAACCAGAACCAAAGGGATTGAATGCAATTGTTGCACAGATGAGGAAGAGAGCTATGGAGTCATGTGCGCCTGCACACCTGCCCAGCTTAGAGGGAACCCCTTGGTTGTTCCCAACCTTGGGTAACGCAAGTGTTCGTGGACTGCAATTCCCATAAGTCTTTGCCGTCAACTGTACTGGCCAGGGTTTTCAGAAGTTGCAGTCCAAGATCACCTAGGTATCCAAGGTTGGGAACCACTGACCTATATTGACACAATATAATTTACTGTTAGAGGTATGGAGAAATAAAATTGGCAAAGGTATATGGACAAATTTAAAAAGGAAATCAGTTTGGTTATAAAGATCATGAAAAGTGGATTGCTCTATAAGAAATGGGTGTGCCACAACTAATACTTATCTTGATGTTTAATCTTTTAGGACCATCATACGGAGAAACAGTGTTTCCCAATTGCCAGGAACAATAAATAGGTTCAAAATCAGATAAAGCCTGAACTCACACTAGTTGCTAAAATTACTAAATTGATACTATTGCACTTTGGACATATCACAAGAAGATAAGCGTCACTGGAAAAAAATAATGATAGGAAGAATTTAAGATAGAAAAGAAGAACTAACATAAGATCTTATGTTCCTTTATTTATTCCATAAAGGAAACAACATCCTTTAGTTTGCAAAATGTAACAGGACTGATAGGACTTTTTATAAGTTATAGATTTATAGGGTTGCCCTAAGAAACAACATAAAGGCACGTACCAACAAAAATATAATGCAGTTCAGCTGGTAAGATATAGAAAGTTAGCTCAAGAAGAAGGCAACAGATGGCAAGACGTAAAACTAATTCATTCACTCAGTCTTCCAAGAGAATTGTGGAGAGAGTTAAGTTTAACATGCTGTAAGGTTATGCTCAAAATCCTCCAAGGTAGGCTTCAGCAGTATGTGGATCAAGAACTCCCAGAAGTACAAGCTGGATTTCAAAGGGCCAGAAGAACTAGTGACACAATTGCTAACATGCACTGGATTATGGAAAAAGCGAGAGAGTTCCAGAAAAATATCTACTTCTGCTTCATTGACTATGCGAAAGCCTTTGACTGTGTGGACCACAGCAAACTATGGCAAGTCCTTAAAGAAATGGGAGTGCCTGACCACCTTTTCTATCTCCTGAGAAACCTATATGTGGGACAGGAAGCAACAGTTAGAAATAGATATGGAGCAACTGATTGGTTCAAAATTGGGAAAGGAGTACGACAAGGCTGTATATTTTCCCCCGGCTTATTTAACTTATATGCAGAATACATCATGC